GAGCATAGGAGGTTCCATGTGAACATAAGAATAAACCTTTTCACTGTGAGGGTTACAGAGCACTGGCCCAGGCTGCCCAGAGAGGTTGTGGAGTCTCCTTCTCTGCAGACATTCAAGACCCACCTGGACATGTTCCTGTGTGACCTGGTCTGGGTGATCCTGCTCTGGCAGGGGGGTTGGACTGGATGATCTTTCGAGGTCCCTTCCAACTCCTAACATTCTGTGATTCTGTGATAAACAGCTTCGAAGCAAGCAGATTTCCTTCTAATTTGCATCAAACTCATTCCAACAGTCACTTTAACTGGAACCCAAGTGACCTTAATTTCTCTCTCCCACCATCCTTACCTCCTCCTCCAGTTTCACCACCTTGGCCTGAGCGTTGTTCAGGGCCTGGTCTCGGATCTCGATGTGTCTCCGTTGGTCCTCGTTAGTGGAGCGTGCAGCAGCCAGCTCTATTTCCAGTTTCTCTTTTTCACGCTGTGTTTCCTTGTCTATCGAAACAAAGTGAGAGTCATCAATGGACTGCACGCATCTCTACCCAGCTTTCAGGAGCCTTTCACTCCAGAGGTTAAGGGAAGATTGTACTGGAACTTCTCAAAAGAGGGAGAATGCAAATCTAGTGCTAAGGGGAACAAAATAGATGGCTTTCAAAGAAGAGAAGAGTTGTAGCCCTGAAAAACAAGCATGGCACCTTCAAGTGTGCTAAGAATGTGCCACAATGCTGGCAAGAAGAAACAGAAGGTGCATCACTCAGTACAGTTAGGTAATTTGCTCTGATTATGCAGAGGGTTAGCGAAACTTGGCATCTCTTGCCCTCTGAGCTTTCAGCTGTGGAAAACAAACTGGGTAATTTTAATATCCCAGGCTGGGGGGAGGAGATGGCAGACTTCTGTGCCTGAAAAACCTGTGCTCCCCATTTTCACACTGACCCCACAAACAGGAAGGCTGTTCTGCCCTGGGCAGCTGTCCTCCTCCTCAACACAACACCCAGCTGTCCCACTTTGCTGCGAGTACCATCAGATGGGTCACAAAACAAGTGAGCAACAGAACTCCTCAGCCTTCCTCTACTGCCCTTAAAAACAATCCCGTGGGCCAGATCTGAGGCACATGTATCTGTTCTGTTCTCAAAGCAGACCTGCAGCTCAAGAAAGCCTTTTGCCAACACCAAGAGTTCATGTTTGATGCTTTAGAGCCACCCCCGGTCTTTTTCTGTTGCTCTGTGTGTTTCAGGAACAGGGCAACTGCCTTCCCAAAATAATAAACAGGATAAAATAGTTGGGGACTGGAGAAATTATCACACAGGGGTGTAAAGCAAAGCCACAACGCAGAGCTGATGTGCTCTGTGCATGCTGTCATTCCCAGCTCAAGCCAACCAGCTACAATGATAACATTAACACGCTTGCTGGATACATAACCACAGAATACTCCCTGAAGTGATCTACACCCAGTGCTGATGACACCAGAGAAACTGCATTCCAGAAACCAATATCCCACGACAAAGGAATGAGGACAAGGAGTGGAAGGCTTGAAAAACAGGAACCAGATCCTGGGTGTTAGGACAGACTGCATATAGACTACACGGGCCCATTTGTGCAAGCATGTGCATAACTATATTTACAGGACCACAATTATTCCCTTTCTTCTGCCAGCAGAGAGCCGGGAGCAAAGCTTAGCAACACGGAGCAGCAAAAGATCATCTTCTGCTAGGGAATCAGCACAGCCCACACACAGGTTGCAAAACAAACATGTGCACCAACAGCACCCAGAGCTCTGCAGAGCAAACCCTGACTGCAGCTCAGAGCGCATCTGTGACACCAGACACAAGGACAAAGGTTAATGTCACCCCCCTGCCTATCCTATCCCCCATCTCTCCCACCCCAGTATTTCTCCTTCACCCAGGAAATGAGTTGCTGACTGTCAGCACGCTAAAACGTAGTGCAGAAAATGGGCAGAGATGAGATGGTGGAATTATGCCAGCAGGTATCACCCAGTGCCAGCAGCCTGTTTGTTAATCTGTGAGTGCTTGCTGCAAGGCCTTTGGAGGTTTTGTTCCAGACTTTTACCCAAACGAGTACCACTTCGCTTGACAAGTGCCTGTAGCACCCCTAGAAATGCTGGGACTGATGAAATGTAGCACTGTGGTTTCCATGTTCATCCAAAAAGAGAAATTGAATGTAAGGCCTCATAGCTTTGGCCTTCCCACCTCTCTGAGTGGGAACCTCAAAAGTCCACCCAAGCAGTCTGAATGAGCGACAAAACTCACAGACATTCCTCTACGAACAGGAGGTTTGAATTCACACCTGACAGCCATCTGCTTGCAACGTAAGCCACAAGGAAGAAGCTAAAGACGACACAAAAGAGGGACACCAGCATTTGTCAGAGTAGCAGCAGTGTGTGTTACACCACAGAAAATCTCTATTTTGCAATTTTATTGCATTACCTTTTTATATAACAATTGGAGAAAAGCGAGCATTGTCAGAAGGGTGGAGTATGCTATGGGATGAGAGAAAAGCTGGCTCGTTGCCGTCGGCCTCAAGACATTTCAGCACAAAGGAAAAGCAGCATTTCACATCCGTCATTTTGGTTTGCCCTGTGATAAAACCACTGCTGTGGACAGCATTCCTGACCCTCACCCAGCTCAGCATATTGCAGGCAGCATTCATCCTCCTTTTTTGTGCTGAACTGGATAGGGCAGTGGCAAATTAAAGAGCAAAGAGGCAGGAGACCTACCAGGTTCCAGTCCCACTGGTCTTAACTCATGCCAGGACCCTTGTCAGCCTGGAAAGGTTTAATTCCTCCTCTCTCCACTGCCAGTTTTGGGCTGTCACTGCCCTGATTTCTGTCCCGGTAGAAAACCAACAGATCTGAACTACGCTAACCTGCTGCACTGTTATCCTTCCCAGGACGACCGAAGCATTTCTACTGACCCACAATGACCGTGTAACTCACTTTGTGCAAAGAGCTGAGAGATGGTTTTCCGATTGTCTTCAGAGCCCTCAAATTCCTTCTCCGCAAGCTGCTTGTTGGCTGTCTCCATACGTTCTGTAAATTTTTTCAACAAAAGGAACACTAAATAATGACAAACTTTCTAGCATTAAGTCACGTCTGCTCAGGACATTTCTAATGCAAGCTTGGGGAACGGACCTCCTAATTCTACACAGTCAAAATGAAAAGCCTGTCAGAAGCTGGCATTCACTTTTGAAATGTTTCTAATTATGACCCTGAGAAAAATGCTGTCAATGAGACAAAACAGGTTAAATAAAGTTCCAAAGAAAGTACTTCAAACAACTCTAACACATAAGTTTAGTTTTTTAATTTTTTACAAACGTTAAAACACTATTTTTTCCACCCAAATAAATCACACCGTGCAATTACAAGATTTCCTTATAATTCTCCACTAGATCTTAACATTTAGAAGATTAAATCACTGATGTCCAATTACCTGACTTCAGGGAAAAGTGTAAAACCCTATGGACAGCTTAACAGTTCTGCTGCTGCAGGCTGTTAGAAATTTATATCAGAAAATAAGAATTAAATGTTTATGCTCTGTTTTATTACGAGTAAGATTACTTAATGTAGGTCTTTGTGTCCTGTCTTCTCAATAGCACAGGGCACCACATGGCCTCACTTCTTGGGTGCAAAGCAATCTCTGGGAACAGTCTTAGTAAGAGACAAGGGGCAATGAGAGCAGATGACACATGGGACAATCAGAAGTCTTTCATGTAAAAAATTAAACTGACAGTTTAAAAGACTGATTGTGCACCTTTAAACATCTCAAATTGCAGATGTTTTTTGTCTTTCAAACTAACGCTGAAACTTTGACCCACAGTAAGGTCAAATACCATTCAACATCGCTCTCCCCTGCCAGCCGTTGTACTGCCTCAGCCTCTTAGCACGAACCAGACACGAACAACATCTCACTCTGGAAAAGGAAGGGAGATCCAAAAAGCCAGATGCCTACATTGATAAGGAGTGGCAAGACCTTCAGGAAGAACACGGAGTCTGCAGTTTGCATGTCAGTGCTAAAGGGTCACTGGACAGGAAATAAAGTTAACATGCCTGGGGCGGGATTAGGCAGTCAGCAAAAGGTCTCTCCATTTGTATAAACTGAACAAATTGTACAAATTGTGTCTAGGATATAAGACAAGAGAGAATTCCAGGCTTGCATCTGGTTTATGGCATTTGGCTTATCACACGTTTCTTCTCAATGACAAACAGGCTGGAAATGAGAGACTACAGCACGCTCCTAAACCTGTCTTTTCCATACTCCCAGCAAGCGCTTAATATCTCAGACTCCTGACTATACCAAGTATCCCATAATATTCTAGTCGTGTCAACAGACATAGTGAATTCTGCAGCAAAACACTGTCCTGCCAAGTAAGATCAACAATAAAAAAACAACATTGAAGAACAGAAGTTTTACTTCATTCACCTCTTAGATCCCTGTTGAAATCATGAAGCCTACGAATTTCTCCTTCCAGCTTGTTTCTCATGGCCTTTTCCAGCGCATCCCGCTTAGAGGATGATTTCTCCAGGTTTTTGTATGCCTCTGAAACTTGCTGAATTTCTGTTTCCAGCTGCAGCAGGAGTGAAAACAAGTGCTTACTATTTAATCACTAACAATTCTTTTCATTCAGTCTCAAAAAGGAGATGACTTTCTTTCAAGTTTTCTTTATTGAAGGAAACCTACACGTATACATTAAGTAAAATGAGAGTCTCAGGTTTGTGATGGATCCTTCTGCATAAAGAATATCCATGGTTGAAATGAAGATCTGGACTCTCCTTCCAGACGTGAGCTCTGTTTCCCCAATATGGTCAGAGATCAGATACAGCAAACTGAAGAAGTACAAATGTCATCTGTATTTTTTCTAAGACCAGGGCAGTTTGGCACTACTGTTACTTTGGGCAAAAAGCATTTATTTAAATAGCTAATGCGATATCAAGTTGAGTAAGTAAAATAAAACAAGGCAGGCAGACAAAACTCTGCTAAAAAATGCTAGTGCCACATCTTGCATTACTGATGAACTCTACAGATCCGTAAATGTTATGGTCCAAAATTCACAGTGAAACCTTCTGAGGTTTTATGTTTACACTTCTCAACTTAGTTGTGCTTTTAAATATTCAATTTACTAAATGAGGGGAGGGAAACATTTGCAGTAAAATATGTTTTATCCTTCCTTCTAGCCTTCAGTGTAGAGCTCTAATCACCCAGAGCAGGAGATTAACGTCTAATGCTCCTTATCAGGCATGGTTTTGCATTACTGTGCAAGTATGGATCATCAGCACTGCCTACAGCAAATGATCAACAGGGGGTGGAGGGAAGTTCATTTTTATCCTTCTTTCATTATCAGGAAGCTGTCAAACATTTCTCTCAAGCATTTCCTGGCCAGGAACCTTCCAAAAATACAACAAAACAAATGTATGTCCCTGGAAAGAGGTAAAACAGGGAATGAGTGTGGAAAGCCACACTGGTCACCTGAACTCAAACATGTTTTCTAAGCAGCCACACATTTTTATGGTCCCAGAAACTGCTCAGTGCAAAGAGCACAGCAAGGCCCACAAAGTCCTAAATTGCAAGTAGCATCAGCCTTTTCACAGCTGCAAGGCAAAAGCAAAGCTGACCTGCACGGCTTTAAACCACTGGTCATCAAGAAGCTATTTCTATGACACCACAATGAAAATACATCTACTTGTGCATGTTAATGATGGGTCTCACTGTGATATTTTTTTAAGTGTTTAAGCATCACTTACTGTACCTGTTTCATAAAGCCAAAAGTGGCAAATACTCAGTTTTCATGGAAGTTGCGTGTTATTGAGGGAGTGACAAAAGGAGTGCTACTTTCAGTCCTGCAGCCCAAATGTCTTTAATGTAGCCATAGCTGCAGCACTTGTCTTGCACACTGTCCTGCCAACTAGTTTTGTAGCAATGTCCCCTGTCTCATGTCATTCCAAACAAGCCCTTCCTGAAGTCTCTAAAATCTTTTAGACTGATGGGAAAATAAAGCCTGCTGCTATCCTGGACATAGGTTTAATTTAATTTAACCAGACAAGCCAGCGTCTTCAAGACAGCTGATGAGGATGCTCTTTTGAGCACGGTCAATTAGCTGTTAGTATAAAACTGAAGGCTTTGATTCTGTCTTCTGACAAAGTTAAGCTGCTACCCAAAGGCACAGGGTATGACTAATCAATATGCATACAAAAGACTCTAAAATAGATAATCAACTCCCTAGGCAAGGAATGTAATAGTTGCAGATTGGATCATTCAGTTATGGACACTACCAGGCACAGGAGAGGCCCTGATACCCAAAAACACCCACCTTCTGCAGCCGGGCTACTTTCTCGTAACACCCATCCAGCTCCTGCCGTAGAGCGCGGTTATCTTCTGACAGGATTTCCACCATCTGCTGGGCTCTGGAAACGATGGCAAAAGGATCTACTTGCATCTGCTGATATGGGGAAGGTATCTGCTGAGCCCGGGACATCACTGAATAGGAATCGCCTTGCTGCTGCTGCGGGCCTAGGAAGGGCTGGCATAGTCGGTACAGATCTCCCTGATGGACTTGGGTGGACAGGAACGGCTGCTGGGTCCGCGGCAGAATGCCAGGATCTCCCTGGCTTGGTGTCAGAGGTTGCTGATGCTGGGAAGGGGACAGCCTGGATGGTGGCGGAGACTGAAGCAAAGTCAAAGATCCCAGGGACGTCAAGGATGATGTTGGGCTGTGGTGGTGTGGTGGTCTCTGTTGTAGCTGCAGCTGCACATCTGGGTTCTGCCTGGAAAATGGAGAGAGCAGAAGTCCTGTCAAATTCATGCAGAAGATGGTGTACAAACCCAGCAACAAGGTGTGGGATGACCTGTGTAGCTCCTATGCACAGGTCTTCCCACACACAAGACTCATATGTGAGGCTTTCCTCATGTTTTTATTTAAGAAGAAGCTTCAAAATCAAATCATTATCAGAAAATATATTCTAAGTGCATGAAAGTCTATCCTCTTGGGTCTATTTTGCACAGTAACACTAAGAGAAACTCCATCAACAACTACTGACCAAAATTATTTTTATAAATTTTCTCAACATTTTGTGGATGAAAAGCTAAACTGAAGGCTGTTAGGAATGGGCTCCTTTGTTCTGTCCTGAAATGTGCCATCTCTAATGGAGAAAACAGTGAATTTTCTTCTGCAATTCAGGACACAGAGTCAAAGGGATTGGCTAAGCTCTATGTTAGTGTGCCAGCACCTTCTGAAATATCAACCAACAAGCTGCAGCCTGGTCAAATGAGACGGTTAAAGGATAAGAAAACCAACCTAAGAGTTAGAAGCAGGCTTTTGATTCAGAACCACCCTCAGTCCTATGCAGTAGATGTGTTTACTGCTCCTAACAATAAGCTGTATAGGATATTAAAGACAGATGTAGCAATCTATAACGTGCTTGAGTGTATCACAGAACTAACTCCAGGCTACACCAGCTCACATTTCCCAGGCACTGGAGATCCCCAGCTCAACTTCTGCTGTATTAGCCAAGTAGGAAACCTCTCTTGGAAGATTGTGTGGATTTATTGTGCTTGGGTGACCTCAGGAGGGAGGTTTTGCTTCCTCCTCCAAAGATGTTCAACCTTTAACTTCTCTGGATGTTCTTTATCCCAGTAGTTGAAGTCACTCCCTCCCCATGCTGCAGTCAGCCTCTTCAGCACAGACCTCAGCCCGGTGCAGACCCAGCCTGGCAGTTCAACGTGTCCTGAAACATCCTGATTTATTCTTCTGATAAAATTTCCCCCGCTTTAGGCTACAGTTCAACCCTGCAGCTGGAGAAGCACGTACCGGGAGAGTTGACAACATGAGAGTTGTGCAGCATGGAGCTGAACTGAGAACCAAAGGGTTACACAACAGGCTTCTCTGCCGATGTGCAAACACTCAGCATCATCCTTCCTGTTCTCTGCAGAAAGAATGCTTCAACTCTTCATAGCCATCCAAAGAGGAAACATCTGCATTGCTCACATCTGGCTGGCAGCGCGTGTAGGAGGTCGTACTTTCTCAGCCCAGCGCAGGGTTCGCTACTTCAGTATCATGCATCTTACGTCGCATTTTTCCCTGCTTTCCAGATGCATAGAAACCTCCAAGCTGACACTCAAATTCCTTAACAGGGAAACAAATCTAGCCTTCGTCACATAGGGAAACACAAATAGTTACTGCTCTGGTTACTGTTTCTCTCTTTCTCACACTCAGGTGACTGGTCCCTGTCAGCAACATCATTTCAGGAGCTGTATTTCCCCAGAAACGATCATACGCAGCGTGAGGATCTCAGGGGTCATGCAGAAGAGAGATGTGCAATTAATTTCCTCAGGAATGTTCAATTTAGCAGCAGCAATTTCGTTCCTCCCCTCCTGGGAGCTCAGCTCTACTTATTGTTGCATTTATTTCATTACCTTTATTTGCCAGTTCTCGTAACGAAGAACGAGGCAAAACCCTCGCATGCCATGCTCAAGGTCATCTGGTTTGTCCCAGGTAGTTTCCAGCTCCTTTCTTAGCTCACCCAGTTACGTGCAGAGTTAAAACTTTGCATCTTCAGAAACCACTCATCTCCTGGCGCTTATTCTTCACCTAATGTCATGCAGCTCTGTTTTGATGTTATAATCAATCAGGGAATAACTTTGCTGTGACATTTAACCTGTGAGGACCTGCAGAGGTTAGATCAGAAGAGATACGTTGCCAGTCTCCCTCATGGATGCAAAAAACCTTATCCTGCAAAATACTCTCTTCCAGTCTGAAGACAACCTGGAGTAGTTACTCAGAGACTGACTCACTGATATCAGTGTGTGTTAATATCATAAACCTACTGAGAACTATTTAGATGTCAATGTTAACAATCTGAGCTATTTGACTAAAAGCATCTCCTCATTCTGCCTTTTCCATAGGACCTGAGCACTGATGAAAGGAGCACAGAGATGGCCAAAGAAAAACAATAGCAGCAGCTAAATTCTGAAGGGACGGTCTTTGTACTGACATGCCTGGTAATGACCTTTTTTTTTCTAAACCTATTGTAAAGAACAACTCTAGGAAATCATGGCTGAGTATTTCTAAACAAGCCGCATTTCCAAGATTTCCAGCATCCTGGCACTCGCATCCGAAGCCTCTCACATCTTGAAATTACACCAATCTCGTAGGTTCAGGCTGCAACATGAGAGCTGGAAGCTGCTAGTTCTGTTGCATTACCAACAGCATTCAAAATGTCACAAATGTGTTTATATTCCCAGCAAAATGAAATAATGCAACTGGAGTAATACATCAATCTTTAAAAAAACCAGTCCTATAACCTCACAAGGACAACGAGATCTTGTACGCAAACTTCTACATACAGGTTCAAAGAACTTTTTAGCATCCCCACTACTTTCAATTTTGTCTTATAAAATACTTACATATATTTTGTGAGTTCAGAATACCCGAGATCCCTCAGATTAACATGAGAATTGCAGAATTTATTTCTCTGGTAAACCAATTTTGCATTGAGAGGCTCAGAAAGGTAAATGAACACAACTGGACTTTTCAAGATTTTAAAGCCAGCCTGCAAAATTTAAAGGTACAAATCACTACTGGGGTCACCTCACAGAACTGCTGAGATAACAGCAGCAGAAACCTCCCTCCACGAGAGAATCAGTGCTAGAGTAACCCTGCAGTAGTAATTAAAATTAAATCCAAACTAAGCACTTCATGCAAAAAATGCAGAAAGACTCACAAAATTATGCAATCTCCTTCCATTTGCTTCAGTGTCATAAAGACCTGGAAACAGGAAAAAAACCTTAGAGCAATAATTCCCACAAGTGTTTAAGTTTGAACGCGTAACTTTAAGGGCCACTTCACGTTGAAGACCGTATCACACAGGAATCTCTGCTTCCCTGGCACGTATGGGAGAAACACACCACGCAGCCAAGTACAAACCTGGATTTATGGCCCTGCAACTACAAGGGTCACGTTAGCGTTTAAGTCATGAATACAGAGATCTGGAGTAGGGGTAGCTCTGCAGGCAAACCCAGCCAAGAGCAGTCCTGAGGCTGCCAGAACTGCGAGTACCAAGCCACGCAGAAGATGAGCGGGGAAAGCGACAAATTGGGGAGAGCAGAAGAATGAAGACAGCAGGAAAGGTCTCCAGCTTGTTAAAATTTTTTCGGCCTTCCCAGCTTCTCCTGTGTGTTTCATGATCAAGAAGCTGCAGCTTCGTTCTCTTCCACAGCTCCCCTGCGCAAACTGGTGAGCACTGACTGCAGGAGGGAGCAGACTCCGCTTGATGAGAAAGTTGAAAACAAACCAGTGCATTTTTGTTCTGCTTCCCAGTCATACCTGATTAGCCTCTACTTTGATGCTGCTCAGGGGAACGCAGTGCACAGAAGTGATTTCCTAATGATGGGACAAATTCTGCAGACTTCCTTCTCTAAAAGTTTCTGTGAAGTCAACGGGATTAATCGCCACAGCAGGAGCTCAGTCATTTGGGCTCTAAACGGGGGACGGTGCTTGAATTGGAAAGCCAGCAAGCTCCCTCTGCACCCAAAATCACATCAGCACCAGCCCCTTCTCTCCCAGCTCTTGCTCTTCAGCCACAGGAGACCTTGCAACCCCACAGGACTCATCTTCTCCTCTTAGACCCGAGGGTTTGTTTCCACCAGCAATGCTAAAATGCAGTTGAGACACTGGGGAAAGAATAAGATTTTGGAGCTTCAAATGCAGCCAGCCCTCTTCTGCACTTTCTTTAAAATTTCCAAATACCAGCACAGATGCCTCCAGCATGCCCGGTATTTAAATTAAACCAACATCATTATGAATATATATGTGTTCCCAAACTTAACACCGCCCAAGAGCAGGTGAGGCAAACTCCAGACTGGTTTAAACTTACCATGCAGCCCATTCCTCTCCCAGACTGGGGAGGGTGAAGCATGAGAATGCTGTGAATTCCCCAATGTTTATCTTGCTCAACGAGTTTTATTTAACCACATTGTTAGGTCACCCTCAAATTCCCCCGAACAATGAGGGGAAAAACCCGCAGAACAGGGTGTGGCTTCGCCAGCAGAAAGAAGGGGCTTTGTTTCCTTGTTCAAAAAATGCACGCATTTACCGATCCACATGAATACCGATAAACACGGAGCTGCGGCGCAGCGCAGGAAAACTGGAGTCTCTGCAAATACTTTACCATCACTCCAGCGAGCCTGCAAAGACACTCGTTAGCACTGGCCAGTGCAAAGCAAAGGCGCTCCCAAAAGCTGCACGCCTTTAAAACGCTCACACCATTACCCAGCTGCACCTTTAGGAACACAGAAGGGTTCTTGTCTAAATGACAGTTTCTCTTCAAGCGTGCGGGAGAGGGAGGGGAATAGAGGACTCGCTCCCTTCCTTTGCTCCACTGCTCTGTAATTTATGGATTAGGCTTGCAATTGTTCGACCGCTTCAGCATTTGCTTGCAAAGGAAACCTCTTCTCTGTGCAGCTATTTAGGTTAAAAAGTAACCTCATTAGATTCCCAATGCTTTGAAGACAAATTTCAGTTGCTTCCCCTACTGGAAACCTCGCCAGCTGAACCTTTCTCCTCCCTCCGCTTCCCTCCCCCATGTTCTTTCAAAGCAGCCAGGATCCATCCAATACAGACAAAAATCACCCAGTCTAGAGGAGCTGACTGCTGGCGTGTTTTCAAATACCTCTCCCTTAAACAGCAAGCAGGCTACGTCTCAGATTCCCTGTATATAACATTATGAGTATTTCTGATACAGCACAACCATTAAGGATCTGTTTCCCTTTCCTGTGTGCACAGAGATTTGAGGCCTTTGAATTTTCGAAAACATTCGCAACGAGTTTCTACAATCATTACCCTCCCTAAACCCTTTCCTTCCCCTTTTCCTGGCCTCTTTATTATTTATTTAGCCAGATCAAAGGGCCTTTTCATCAGGCTTGTATGCTGCTGAAGTCATTTCAGATCACAAACAATGGTGGACAAACTCTGAAAATAGCTCCCCATAGGACTCGGAAGGTTCTGAGCAGATTCAAATTGCCCAAAGTTCAGATTCTGCTCCTAAATAAAGACTGGTTTCTTCTTCCTGCACCCCTCAAAACACAACACAATATGTGCAAACACAAACGTGCAGAGACCTCGCCATTTACTCATGTAGCAATGCCCTCCTATTGCTCCTTTGTATTGGCGTTTCAGCTACAAAATTGGACCAAAATCATTATACCAAATCCCACTTGGTCTTGGACAGGAGATGAGATGGTAAGGGAACTGGTACAGTAAAGCCTTATTTTTAGCCCACTTGAATAAAACTTCACCTTCACCCACAAGGACATCAGTGTCTGGCTCCAGCCAAAGCCAGGTCCTTCTCTAGAGGAAACCAGAACTGGCTGAGATTTCAAATGATGCAAGGAGAAGTAGCAAAAGCTGAAGGATCAGGCCGGGAAGAGGCACAAAGCCCGCTCCATTTTCCACTCCTACACTTGGGTCCACTGAAAATAACATTTCAGAAACTCTAAAGGAAGCATTATTGCTTTCCTTCACTTTCTCCTTTCCTATGTAGCACTTAGATGGAGTTTAAACCTAAAAAAAATCCCTCTTGTCTGAGCAGACTTAATTAAAGAACAGCTTAAGTCTTGCAATAAGCAACTGCAAGTTTCTACAGTGAATCATGTCATAACTTTGGCTTTCGTAGCAAACCTTTTCTAAGGCTCTGGAGCCTCAGCATTAAACTTCCCCATGCCATAAAGTCAAGCTGGCTTGGTTTGGGTTGTTTTTTCATTTGTGGGTTGTTTTTTTTTAAAAAAATAAGTCAGGCCTTTCTAGGTAAGCTACTGAAACCAGTCACAGTCCTTCCAGATGTGGTCTGCAGCTGAACACAAGATGTCATCTCTTATAATAAAGACAGAATTTTTGCTGATAGAAAACCTGTCTCAGGAGTATCTTCCCTGATGTGGCTGTCATGGAGTTTGTTTGAAGATCCTGCTTACCTGACTGACCCGTACTCAGGAGGATGCTGATACCTCATCATCGGCCCATCAGATCTCCCCTGCTGGCTCATGCGATGATCGCTATAGAAATGTCCCGAGTCCTGAGGTTTGCAGTTCATAGATGGGGTGGACACATTTTTGTAAGGATACTCTGGAGGAGGACCCCGCTGCTCCATTCCTTTCATGCTGGGTTGGGCTGGGGGCTGCACCGAGTTCTTGTAGAACTCATTGGAGCCCGAATTTTTGTAAGGGTCGCTGGACTGCTGAGGAGAGAGCGGAGAGAGGGGGGAGAGCGGCGCGCTTGTCACGGGCGCATGGGCCTTGACACCACTGGTGGCCAAAGACAGCTGCATCAGCCGCTCACTCAAGGAGCGGACGTGCCCTTGCTTGAGGTCCTTAAGTCCTTCATCCTGGTGGACCTTCCCTGGGCTCACCCGCTGAACCGTGGGCCGCCCTTCAGTCCTCATCTTTTGGTTGGTGACCCCCGTTACGTAAAACGCTGCCCCAACGCTAGCGTGCGGCTGGCCCCTGAAATACTGCGACTGGACTTTGGCTTCCTCGTAGGTCGGGAGATCCTCGCTGTTCTGGAGTCGCGGGGAGAGCTGCTTCTCCATGATGCTGTTGTCCACCTGTATCTCCTGGCCCTGGGGCTCCTGCCGGGCAGCATGAGTCACGAGCTGGTGGTCCTGGGAGCTCAGCCCTTCGTTCTGCGATGCTGGACTCCCAGTGCTGTTGAAAGGGGGGGCATTTCCTGTGGCTTGCTGGTGTAAGGCAAGAAGGTTACGGTTGTCATTTGGGTTTCCGTATCTGAGCTGCTCCTGCAGCAGGCGCTGTAAAACTGTCGTAGCTGCTTGCTCTTCTGAATTCCTCATCTCAAACTGTGGTGCCTTTTGGGTGGAATGCAAAAGCTGCCCTTGACCTAAGGAAAGGAGACATGGTTATTAGCGCCTTAGTGGATCAAACAAGAGACATTTAAGAGCAATGGCTTGAAATCCAGAAAAAAAGCAGGTTAGATTACCAAAGGTTCCCATAACAATGAGGGTCATCAAGGCCCTTGACCTAAGAAGGACTTGTATGCCAGGGGGCAAAGCCTCAAAAGGTGATGAAAGGTGACTTGCAAATTTATAGGAATATCAATCAACTACAAGCTATAGGGATGCATGCCGAATACCTCAGACAGCAAGGCTGCTTTCAGGCTGAAAGGAGACCTATAATTCACAGGATGATGGTAAAAATGCCTAAAACCTGTTTGCTTTACACTTAAGGCTACCAAGAGTGAAATACGTTTCCCATCTTTGTAGGCAGACAAGGATTAAAGGGTGAAATCAGCAATTTGTCATTTTCAAGGGGAAAAAAAAAAGAGGAGGACCATTAAGATAGTATATGGTTCAAAGGAAGTAAAGAAATCTGAGCTTAGATCACTCAAAGCAATTAATGAATACCTCATTAGCCAGCAGGTTTTCAGTGTTATGAAATACCCAGAGTGAGATCAGCACCTACTCTCTCTGCTGTAGAAAACACTACGAACTGGTGCAAGTGAGGACTCTGTAACTTCCTGCTATACAAAGGCAACCAAATCCTCACACATCTAAATATCATCAGCTGAACGCATGCAAAGGCAAGAGGAGGAAAAAGGAGTTGTTTGATCTATGGAACAGAAAAAGACTTCTGAGTGGCTGGAAAAAACCCACTGTGTACCAATGAGAGAAGCACAAAGAGCCAATGCCAAGCACATCCTAAATCCAGATTAAGCCAGTGATCTACACTTTGCTCGGTCTCCCACTGGACTCAGGAATTTGTCATGGAAACTCAGGCCCACTGGCCTTGCGCGAGTTGAAATATCCAAAATTAATGATACCTTTGAGACATTTAACTAAAACCAGAGCTACTTTTGAGCTAGAAGAGTTCAGAACAGAGAGTATGCTTTATTTGTTGGCTAAACTGTGGCTCTACCCCAACAGGAGAACACATGTTGGTATTCTAGCACTTTATTTTGACACCATTTTTCTGCACAACGTTTCCCTTAGCAAAAGGTAACTTGTCCCCAACAGCTCGTTCCGTGGCAGAAACCAGGATGGACAGAGTGAAGAGAAAGTTAAAATCCACCTCATTCCAGGCTGCCTCCCCAAACCAGGAATTCAGGCCCTGTTAAACGTGTTTCTTCTGAGATCGTTTGAAGTGGCACATACCTATTTTCTTCACTTGGACTTCCTGGGTAAGGAGAAGCAGCTCTGCCACATGGGGGTCACACACAGCCTTCCTCCCGCCAGTCCAAAATCTGCACTCAGAGACAGCTTCACGCTCCTCTTCGGTAGGCCAGATCACTTGACACTCTCCTCGCTTCCAAAATAATTCTAAGGAAAGCATTGAAAACATCATTTTAATCAGCAGATCAGACCCTAGAAATAATAAACTTTGGCCCATATTCCAGATTATTCTGTTGCAGATTCTTGTTTGCTCCCAGAGCCCAACAATTTTGATCCCTTTAGGATGAATGACCCCCGCCCCCATCCCTCGCAATCCACTCCAGCTGCTGCTTTAATCATGACAATTTCTGCTCCAAGATTAGATGTTGCCAAGTAATACTCTGTCCCATCTGGGCCTTCCAATGTAACAGTGATTAAAAGCCGTTAATTCTTTAACTCCATTGTTTTATTTTCTGCTAAGAACGAAAGCTGCAGCACAGATGGTGATACCCTGCGCTCATGGCTCCTTTTCCAGCGGTGCTGCATATTTCAAACTATATCAGGAGAAATCTTTTGATGAAAGGTGAATTGGTTAAATGCTGTATAAGCTTCAACAAATTCTGCCTCAGAAATGACTGCGAGAATGATCAGTATCCGAATACTGGGTTTATTTTAGAGACTGGGAAAGCGAGGGGAAGAAAAGGACACTGACAAAGCAGATGCCAGAAATATATTGCAGAGCACAGCTATAATTCCCAAACCATCCTTTAATTATGTTACTTTTCTCTTTCAGAATATAAAGCACTGAAGAAACTTTAACCACTGACGGGAGAATGAGGAGAACAGAGGAAAATGTGCATTTAGGTGTGCTATTCATGAAGCAGTTAAATTTGTGACTGAAGGTGTCCTAAAGTCAAACGACGTAAAATGGAACACATTTGTGCACTGGGTGCGCTTATACAATTCAAACAGAACTAGTGAAATTAAAACTATTCAGTGAGATGTACGATGTAACTTCATTTCCTGGAATGTGGCAAAAAAAGAAAGCGAGCAGAAGCAGCGAAGGAATGCAGACACGGGTACTTCTGTCTCTGTCTTCTTATGGCACACATCCACACCCACCAAAAACTATCTCAGATCTGCAAGGTAAATAGTTGAGGTGTCAACAGTGATTTCAAGGCACATGAACAATGTCTGAGCGCGGAACAAGGCTGTGTTGTGTGGTTCGGTACTTCAAGATGGTGGCTGAAAAAAACATCTCATGTCAAATTCTTAACTGGTGACTTAGCTCGAGAGGGATATATTGAAAACAGCTGCCAGCAACTATGCAGTAAAGAACCTTTAAACCAGGCATTTCAGATAGCAGATAACCAAAGCAATTTCGAGCCTCTTTTCCCAGTGTCGCACAACAGAAGTTAAGGATTCCTCATACCAGTATCATCATCAACTCCTCTTTTTATTTTTTCTTCTTTTCTTCTCTAACCAAAGTTGCCCTAAGCAACTCTTTTTATTAGAGCATAAAAAGGCTTTTATTATGCAATACGATGCTGCCTTTCCACCCAAAGATTTCTTTTGTTTCAAGTGGAAAAATCTAAGGGGGGTAGGTGGTGGTGTTTATTTTTTTAATACAAAGATACAACCCAGCTTGAGGTTCTGCCTTAAAGATTTTCTCCACGGACAGATTCAATCTGTGCACATTTAACTCCTTCAAACGCTCAAGGAAGTAATTCTGGATGCAACCATTTCACAGAGTTTCCCTTCACAGCAATACACACTTTTTCAGCTGATCCGATGAAGGGAGGGCACGGTTCACATTGAAAGCATTTGCTGGGATGGAATACTTCTAATGAAAGTGTGGATGTAAACTAGGAATCAGCCTGAAAATCCAAAATATGATACAATATGAAGATATCCTGGCCAAAAAAATCCACTTTCTTTAAATACCAACTGCTAACATGAAGCCTATTTTTTTCCAGTTTTCTCTCTTTTTTTTTTTTAATTAACAAAGAAAATCTTGTGCAACTAACTTGGGTGGCAGCATTCCTGGGATCTGCCTTCTGAGCAAGCTGGAAACTCACGGCAGGACCAGGGAGTTAACTTCTGTATGTAATGAAACACAAAAAATGAACAGTACAACCGGTTCTGAGGCCCACGTGTTATTTATTTGCCCACCAAACTGTATTTGTGTTAGGCTCTTCCAGCAATTTCAGTCTGCAGTGTGCCAAAGATGGAAATCAGTGAGGTGCACTGGAAAAGTTGCTATGATAGAGCTGGAAAGAAACTGGAATAGGCTCTGTAGACACTTTAAACAGATGTATTTGGGTGTTTAGCCTTAATCAGTGATAACCTGTGCCATTCATTAAATAATTTTGGACCTCGCCCTTGGGAGCCCGGTGCTGAATTCACATTACCAACAAGGGATGGGGCTGAATTCACATTACCAACAAGGGATGGGGCTGAATTCACATTACCAACAGGGGATGGGGCTGAATTCACATTACCAACAAGGGATGGGGCTGAATTCACATTACCAACAAGGGATGGGGTTGAATTCACATTACCAACAACTCTGCAAAACTGTACTGGTTTATGGGCTGGATGGTGCACTCCTCCTCACCACAAAGCCTAGAAAAACCTTGCTTTTCAAGTGGAAAATGCAGTTCTAGACCAATTCTGTTCCAAGGAACCACCGTGAGGTGGATTTCCCAGGTTGAACCAATTTCACAGCTTGGTTTTGAGCATCATAGCTCTACCATTTTACTGCCTTAGTCTAACTTTGAGTCTGAAATTGTTGATGGTAACTTCATATCTGTATGTTCTTGAGTGAAACATCAGAGTCTAGAAGTGGTGGACGAACAGGAACTGTGTTGCATGTAACCATGCTGACATCAAGAACGGGCATAAGAGGGGAGGGAACAGAGGTATTATTTAAGGAAGAAAAGAGCCATGTTTGCAGGGCTTTGTGTAAAAAACTCAGTAGCTGAGGCTTCTGTCTTAAGCATCACATAATTATACAGAGGAACTTTGCCAGTCCCTCGTGAGGAAGAAAGAATGATGAAGAATTTAAAATTATAATACTGCCAGGCTGCAAGGAACCAATGCGGCACATTTTTATGCAGCATGCAAATATTTGTCAGCATTATAAAAATAAACAAGCTTCGACAAGTGAGCTACTCACCGCTGTTTGATGAGTGGCTCTAATGCCAGAGCTCAATTAACCTGCATGGAGCAATCATAGCCTCACAAGTGAAGAGAAGCATCTTCCTTTAGCTTGTGAAACTAAGAGGAATGCAAGAGGACAACCTGTAGATACTTGCCCAGAATTACTGCTTAGCCAAGACGCTAATTAGCTTATGCATCAGGTGGGATGGGAACAGGTTCACCACCTCAGCAGGCCTGGAGGACAGTTAAGCACTTTCAGTTTTACCATGAAATTTCGCGTCGCTCGTACACAAAACTATTCAGTGACTGGCAGGCTTCAAACTCAAGCAGTAAATTTTGCTAAGTAATTTTGTGTTTTTCCTAAAAGTGCATGGGACACTGCTGTTCCTGACTGGGAGCAGGTGGTGGGATGCCATCAGTTAGATGAAGTCTCAGGTTGATTTTTTAGGTGTAGGGTTATCTTCAGCCATACCTGCACACCATATCTGTCAACGAGAGGAACACTAAACAAATACAGCATAGAAAGGACTGGCTGTGAAGTCCCCAGGCAACCACAGGGACCAGCTCCCATGCTGAGTCACCCACTGTTTAATAGAAATATGCCTTCGCTACATGGCCTACGCAAACCCCAGCAGGCTGATTGCCTGATCCTGCAAAATTCGCTTAACACAAGTCTAAGACCACTGCAAACACGGCTGTTCTGCACACACACTCACTTTGAAGTGGCTACGAGCACCGGGCTCCCAAGGGCGAGGTCCAAAATTATTTAATGAATAGCGCAGGTTATCACTGAACGCTCGGCGTTTCATTTCGGCCCTACCCAAGGAGGAAGAAGGGAGAGGACACATGCGAGGGCAGCCCTTGGGAATAAAGGTTCCCAACGCCTGGCGCCAACTCCCAAACCTGCAAGGCAGCATGTGGCGAATCCCGGAGCTGCAATAGCGTTTTAGCACCTGCTCCTGATCAAAAGTGGGTTCCAGACTCCAACCTATAAACACTTCCATTCAACCGTCCCATCCCTGCGTGCCTGGATGTGCTGACTGCGGCTCAGGTGATCCCGCAGGGTGGCACCGAGCAGGTGCATGGAGCAGTGCCAGCATTACTCATCCTCATACCACAGGGACAGCGTCACTGGGCAAACGAGAAAAACTTCCTTCTTTTAGCTAAAAACAAGAACAATGCCACCCGCAGGGGTGCAAATAATATAAATAGCCATTATATTAGATCATCGGGCACTTAGAGCAAGAGGCCACCACAACACCTGAAGATTGGCCACAACTTTAACAACTCTTTGGGCCAAAACCAAGTCCACCTACAGCAAGAACTGGTCTGCCTTGTCAGTGGTATTGGGATTTGGGTGCAGAACGGTACAAGAAAACCTAAAAAAAAAGCAGCAACGCTCTTGGTCTGGCTTGAGACAAATAAGTCAAGATATGAACACAGGAAGAGCCCCTCTAAATAACAGTTCTAAGGGAAAAAACTGAAAAGACCTTACTTGACCTTTGAATTACTGCTCCTTCACAATAAAGTATCAATATCTGCACAATAAAGTACCTATAATCTTCACAAACATAATTTCGGTTTTATATTACAAAGGGGAAGAAAAAAACCCCAGAAGAATAAACACTTACAGAGCCTGGTATACAAAGGAATGCTTCATGGCTTTTAAGCATTTTGATAAGAATGCTATGGAATTTCAAGTTCCCCTCTGAAAAGTCAAAAGTCAGAGGGGCAGAAGAATTTATTCTGAATATAGTGGTCTAACAGCAAAACCAGCATAGGTATATTCTTCCTGCTGCTTTTACTGAGAATATTTCTATGTGAATACACCGCACCATTCGGTTACTTAAGCTGTTACACAGCACTACCAAGCACTACTCACATTATCTGCAGAGACACAAAGCTAATCGCTAATTCCAACATAAGCAATAGGAACTTAGATGGCTCAAGATGTAACCTTTTAGATGTCTCCCTGACAAAACCTGACCAAGCTTACACAGC